CTTTTCTTTCACCAAAAACAAGTAAACCTATTTTATGTAATTCTATTGTTGTACATTCAGTGATTCTAGCTTTTTGGAAGAATTTAAAATGACATCTCGTTTGAATTTTGAAGAAAAACCAGACAGTGATGAAATTCTCAGTTCGTCATTGATTGATTTAAAAGAAAATTATCAATTAGTATGGCTAGATGTAAACGCCAAGAACGATAGTGATGAATCGATCTTTACAATCAGACATCTTCAAAATACTGTCGATCGTATAAGTAAATTTGATGATTTACAGGAATGTGTATCATATATTGAAGAAACACAAGAAATAACAACGTTCATTATCTGCTCAGGTACTTTAGGAGAAGATCTAGTACCAACTATTCTTGATCGAAAAAATATTTGGGCAATTTACGTTTATTGTTATGATATTGATTCTCATAAACCATGGACTTGGCTTTATTCAAAAGTAAGTTTTTATCGTCAACTAGAAAATAGAAACGTTGATCTTTGAATGCTGTTAGATTAAAACTGTACGTACAAGTCTCAAGTATTTACTAAAAGATTTGATATATAATATACAAGAGTATAAACAGTACGAAAAGGAGACTGAGAATGGTATTGGTATATTCAATTTTATTGGACAAGATCAAACAACAACAACAACAGGTATAAGTGGCACAGATTGGTCACGATTTATCAATACATTATGTCATTTATCATATCCAACGAATGCATGCACTCAATTTGTTGATAATTTAAAGAACTATTACAAGAACGATACTGCAAAACTTCGAGAAATTGACGACTTTGAAAAAAATTATATGCCAGAAAATGCAATATTATGGTATACACGTCCGATATTTTTATATAAACTTTTGAATAAAGCATTTCTTTTACGTAATCCACAATTATTGTTTTCTATTGGCTTTTTCATACATGATTTATACCAACAACTTAACGAAGAGGAAGAAAAATATAAATCAAACCATCTTGTTGATTGTCCTGTTTTTACAGTTTATCGTGGACAAGTAATATCTCGGAATGAGATTGAACGGTTTTCAGCCCTTCTCACGGATTATAGCATTGAAGTCTCAAGGGATGTATACATTATCAATACTAGTTTTATTTCTACCACTCAAGATCGAAATGTGGCAACATTATTCATAATACAATCTTCAACACCTGATGATCAAATTCAAGGAATTTTATTTGAAATTGAATTTGATGTCCAATTAAAATCTCGTCCTTATGCAGATATAACACATTTAAGTCATTTTGAACAAGAGTCAGAAACATTAATTACATATGGATGCATATTCAAACCAATTGATTTATACTATGATGAAACTGAAAACTTCTGGATATGTAAATTAAAATTATTAAATAATCTTGATTGCTATGATATAAACGAATATGAAAGCACAAGTGAACGTCGAACTTTAAAAACATGTATTAATAACCTTCTCTATAATGATTCGAGAGGCATTTTTGAAAAAGGAATTCAATGTTTTGATATGTTAATTCAACTATTTCCTGTAGAAAAATGGATTACAGTAGCTAAACGTCAATTTTTACTATCAATACATGATCGACTCACACAATCAGATCATTCGGAACATATTCGAAAAAATATTGAATTAATTCATATGTGGTCTGATTACGTTGATGACAATGAAATAAATTGTTCATTGATATAGCGCATATCCATAGACAACATCTCGCTCTTTATTATAGATTTTCTCATAATCAAATGCATTTAGAAAAAGAACATCTTGAATTAGCTATTATATGCTATCAGATAGCAATTGAATATACATCGACAGATTATGAACGAATGAAAATATATGAACTATTATCATGGATTTATCTAAGTGAAATGAGAAGCTTCGCAGTGGATAGATATAAGCAAGTGGAATACATTCGAATGGCTATAAAATATCAAAAATTACAATTAGAAAATAGTTTATTATATCATTTTACAGAAATACTTAGAATTCCTAAATTAATGCAATGGATAGCTAAGAATTATGAATCTATAGATGAATATGATGATGCATTGATTATTTATGATAGAACATTAAAAATGTTCGAAGATCAATTGCATCCACCTTTTGATACGATTTTAAATATTCTTAAGAAAATATTAAACATTTATAAAGAACAAAAACATGATCTACATTCTGTACTTAAATATAAAATTATTCAACATAAATACATTGTAAGAGATGCGTATGAAACGCCATTCGAAGAATATAATATAAATTATATTGTTGATCAAAGATTTGAACTTCGACTGCGACAAGAAACAATATTTAAAAGTCATATTGAATTAGCTCACCGTTTTCTGGATGTCAATGACTATTATATGGGAAATGAACATTTATCAGAAGCGTTAGAATTGGCTGATAAAAACAACTTTGGTAATCCTTGTCCGAAGGAAGCAGAATTTTTGAAAGAGTGATTAAAGAAAACAGATTAAATATTGGACATGTGCACATGAATAAAATCCGTTATTGTTTTGTGTTGTTAAAAACCACCACCTTGATCAATACTAAGGACAATCTATGCAAAAAAAATCGAAAAAATCTGATTTTTTTTGTGATTGTTTCTGTATAAATCGTTGATTAAGAATCGTGGGTGAGTGTCGTCAGGATGTCGGTCTGGGTGAAGGTGCGAACATGAGGATGTAACGATAAAACATAAAATACCCACACCCTCAAGATTTTTCGACCAAAAACATAATTACTGGTGTGACTATGGCTGTGGGAGTTTGCGGGATCAATGTAAAGGAGAAACAGTGGTCCACATCCTCGTCTCGGCGAGCGTTACTTATTAAAAGATGCATCACAATTGTCTGTATTGTGCTGCTATGCAATATTCTACAAAAGCAAAGTTAACGAAAAAAATTATATTTCAGTATTCTATCTCAATTCAAATAGGCTCTAGACAGATATCTATCTTATATTCATCTTTTGCTATTCTTACAGACGCTCACTGACGACATTGGACATTTGTTTAGTAATACATAAATACTCGTTTTTAAATAAATAGACTAACAGTAACAAGTAACACTTGTCTAAAGACTTTTGTTATTATAAGAGAAGTTGTTATTCAATAGGATTATAGTGATCTCTATCAAAAGCTTTTCAGAATAGTAGAGTAATTGAAAATTTTTTATAACTTCAATTATAAAGTTAGTTCCTTGAAAAATTCATTTTGACAAAATTTTAAAAATTATTAATCGCATAAAAGTTGATGCTAAATTATTCGCAACTAAAATAGTCGGTTTAGTAACCACATTCAATGTATTATTATTTAAATGATTATTAGTAAATGTTACGATCTGCTGCAGAGATAGGCAAATCCAAGTCCGGACAATTTGGCAGATTTTTTTCACATTTGTGGCTGGACTTTTCAGACTTAAATTTGAAAAAAGATGAAGAGAATAAAGAAATTGAATTCACTGTTTTATCTTTTTCGTGTTATCGCGTAGTCGGTTAAGATTAGCTCTGATCCAAACTTTTGATCAGAGTTACTTACGATCAGAAGGCGGCTCTTTTTTCCGTTGAGTGATTGGTTTCTTTGCACTAAATGCCCGTCTGCCTTTCTGCACCGGATATTCTTTTCTCGAAGTTGCGGTAAGACATAATGACTTCTAATAAGGATAATTTAACATCAAGCAAAAAAGTATTTGAAATGCTTTTTGTTGAGCTTAGCGGACTGGGACTGATTCGGACTTAGCCTCTAGTGGACTAGGACTGGACTGAGACTGGAAAAGTACCGGACTTGCCCATCTCTGATCTGCTCCAAATTCCTGGTAGGACCCAAACATCTCAGATCCTGCCAGGAAATTATTAGGATCCTACACCCATCATGATAGGATCCTGGTAGGAAACAGATAAGTGCAAAGGATTTTGTCTAGGGTCTGTACGTTCAAAATTAGACAAGCTTCAACTTATGTTAGATAATTTACGAATGCCAAATACAACTTCTCGCCGTCCATGTCGTATAGCTATTTATAATAGCTATAAAGCTAGTGAATTTAAAGCTATCGTCCATTTCGGTTTCTCGGCGTGTCAAACTACATTAAAATGAAAATATTATAATAATTTATTAAAATTTGTTATGCAATGATTATCGGTAATGGGGATAAGACGATAAAAAATGATGTTTCAACAGTTGAATCATTAATGAATGAATTTGTTTTTGAGTTTGAAAATTTATATACAACACATCATTGTAGTTCAACTATTCATTGGATGCAACATGCGCATTTATCAATACAATATATCAGTCCATTTTTTACGTATTCAACATTTTTTTTCGAAAGCATTAACCGTTAATTTTGAAATCTTTGGCTCACGGAACCATCGAGCATTTGAAACAATTGATCAAAAACCTTAAGTTATTTAATACATCTATTATTCATTATTATTCTCCAATATATCCTTGTCTATTGTCTAATTTATATGAACAACTTTGAATGAAAAAAAAGCAAAATGAATAATACGATCAATCTACCTAAACAATCTCAATTAACATATCATTCATATACTGATTTTCTCTCTGAAATATTCGGTTTGAGTAATATAACATTTTATGATACAATTTATTATAATAATACTAGTTATGAAACAAATATTCAGCATTCGCGTACAACAGACGATTCATGTATTATGTTTAAACAATTGAATTCAGCTGAGATGCATTTGGATTTTATTTCAGCTATTATAACACTAGAGAATAATAATGAAAATATTTATTTTTTAACGAACAAAATAGTGAGAAAGTGTATGTTTAAAATAAAACTTTTAACTCAAACAGAAATATTTTTATCAAATTCATGGATTTATTTAATCGAAAAAGATTCCTTGGTATTAATTAGACCAGTCGTTCAACAGAAACTCGTCTACCGGTTTCTTACTGAAAAACATTTACATGTGTTCAAATATCCTAATTTGAAAGAATCTAGTTAAGCATTCTACTCAAACATTCTGCTTAAGGTGCCTCAAAATCATAGCAAACCTTCTCTTGTGTTTATTTGCACGTGATTGGATAACCACACATCGAGCTGAGTTAGAAAAAGCGGCTTTTAAAGTTTTTAAAATTCTTTTAAGGAAGAAAAATTGAAAAAACTCGAAGGATTCAACAAAAGTTTTCAAATTTCAAAAAAACTGAAATTTTTTCCGTTTTGTTCTAACTTTTCGAAAATATTTTGTCCGGATTCAGCATTAAAAACTGAGTATAAGAATGATTGCTTGATCGAAGCTTTTGAAATTTGAAAGTAATTTGAAACACCCGAAATCTTTCTATAATATGTAACTATAAACGTTCTATCATCTTCTTAACGATGAGAAAGTCATAACTCTTTCCAACCCATAGATTAGTCATAACAATACTTTTCCGGTTCAATTATAGGCCAATAAAATGGACGGCAAACTCCGTACTATTCTCTTGAATGAATATAGATGAATTGCCAAATTATAGGCCAATAAATTGAGTGGCAAGCTCTCTACTACTAACACTGTCATGCAACCCAATTCACTGAGCTCAGCATCACGACAAAATTTAACGTCGATTGTAACTAGTTAACACAATTAAAAGGAACATTTATCTAGATGCAACAAGCTGTGCAGCAGGCGCATCGCGGCATCATCGTGACAAAAGCACCACAGGCGAGTGTACCCATTCCGGAATACCTTTATTCTAGAATGCCATTCTGCCTTTTCAGAATACCATTTCGTTTTTTAGTAGACAAACTTTTATTAGAATTTTTAGGTGATAATAATAGTTGTAAGAGAAAAACTAGAAACGAAAGCAAATCTATAATATCAACGGAAACATGCAGAATAAAAGTATCGGAATAGAAAAAATATGTTCATTAATGTTCGTTTATGTTTTTATTTGATATTCTACAATGTGATTGAACTGATGTTTTGCAGAGTTGACTGAACAACAGTTTTAATACATCAGCATATGCCTTACCTTAAGAATATGATTCGATTGAACGCCAAAAACACCGGAATAATTTTAATGCAATTTTTCGTTCGATAAAGTGTATACAAAAATCTGATATTAATTTTAGGTGACGTTTCATCCAGATCCCTCTTTTTTTACAAGGCCGGCGTAACACTGTTAATCGGGTTATATCCTCTCTATGAAATAGCCAGTCACTAAGATCATTAACAGGGCTTTCTTAAACTCTTTTATACGGCTTTCATAACGGAGTTTATATGTACTTTTTATCCCAGATATAAATGTCAATGCTGAACGAATGCTACTTCTTATTGTAAATGAAAGAGAAAACATATACAAACAATGCGAGTGAATGAACGTTAATGAACATATTTTTTCTATTCCGATACTTTTATTCTTCATGTTTCCGATGAAATTATATATCAAGGCATGAAGAGTGACCAATCTGTCCATTAAAGATCATGAAATATCGATTAATATAAGAAAACTATGTTTCGTCAAGAAAAGGATTTCCAGAGGCTCTCTGAAGATCCTAAGAATATTTTTATTCGATTCGTCATCAGTTTTTACCTATCTTAATCGAATTTGACTCGGCTTGAATAAAAAATAGCCATTTTATTTAAAAATGACCCGCCTTGTCCTATGATACTAGTAAAAACGATTTTTCTCAGCATAGCAAAGAAAAGAAAAAAAACGATACGTAGCGTGGTGAGGGGTGGTATGATGAACAGAATGAGATAAAATATTTGACTCTATCACTCACGTAGAAAAATTAGATAGGTTTACAAAATCGACCTATACGTAATGCACTCGATGCGATTCGAAGCGTTACTGCCAATAAAGTTTTGATTCACGAGTCGATTTAACAGCTCGTTTGTACTCAGTTTTTGATGTTGAACCTGAAAAAATTATTTTCAGAAGCTGAAAAAAAGAACGAAGTAGAAAATTTTGCACATTTTGAAAAAGATATGTTTTTTGAAGACAACGACACCTTCGGAGTACTTCGTATTTTTCGACCGGAAGGAAGCATTTACTAAGGCTAAAAAGTAGATTTTCATGATCAGCAGCTCAAGCTCTATCAAATGATGTGAAAAAGACGCGAAAAGGATTTTTACTTGAAATTCGAATTGCCAGCACCTTACGTAAATCTACGCGCAGCGTTCTTTGCACAAAACTTTCTAGAAAGCGAATGGAGAGACCTTTGTTACTCTTTTGGTAATTAACTAAATGGAAGAGAGAAGAAAAAAGTCAATTTGTTCAGCCAAGCTTTAGAAAAAATTTCAGCGAAAATTTCTCTTCCGCTTCGAAGATAAAAAGCAAGAAACGTTTAGGCGACGAGAAATTACTTGTATTTGAGCGGAAACTTATGTTTGTTTGATGAGAACGGTATCCATTTCCGTACTGGTTTACTAGGAGTAACGGTCATTTACTTCGCTTGCCTTCTATGTTGTTTAGCATTTCAGACAATGGCCTTAAGGTATACTC